TGTCCGCAGACTGCTTGCATAAAGCCCTAAACCCTTAAACCCTGCACCTCAAGCCACGCAGAGGCCTGGGACCGAATGGGGTGGCAAACCGTATTCAAAGGCTTTAGGGGGTTTACCGTTCAGGATTTTGGGCTTAGGGTTTAGGATTCTGGGCTTCGGGGTCGTTTCGGGTTTCCACAAATCCTCGACACAACCCCCCCCGGTTCCAGACCGAGACCTTAAAGCCATCCACCTCAAACTTTAAAACGTGAAGCCCTTGAACTGAGCCACGATGTTTCGGGGTTAGGGTTTCGGGCCACCTGAACGGCAAACCGTAACCCAAGCAGGATGAGGAGGACGAAGCATGTGCTCTCGGGTGGCTTGGCCCAACAACAACGGATGTTGCTCAGTTCGAGACAGGTTTTCAGGAGTTGCGTTTAAGGTTTCAGACTTCAGGCTAAGGATTTCACACGTAGGGTTTGAGGTTTTTGTTGGGTTCAGCATCTTCAAATTCGTAGAGCTGCTGAATTCAGCGGTTGTCGGCACCAGGTAATCCCTTCATCCCATGATGAGTGCCAACAAGTTTTCATGGTCGTGCATGACCTGAAGTCCCTGGAACCCTGCGAATCCTCTTGGCAGCTTCATACTGCCAACGTTGTGCAGAAATATCTCGCTCACCGGCAGGGTCGCTGATCTGCGGTAAACGGCTTACCAGGTTAGAGTCTGCTAGTGCAGGACGCATTTTTGTGTAGGTGAACACCGGACTGGTTTAGATCAGTTGCATCGCTGGGTTGCTTCTCAGTTGTGGTCTGCTACACGTACTTGGGTTTTCGTTTCTCAAGGAAACCGAGGTGAGGTAAAGTGCTTACGTTGAAGAATTGAATGCTGAATGCACTGCGATTTCAGGAGTGCCTTGCTGGAGGAGATAGGGCCGGTTGCTTAGCATCACATGGCATGAGAACATCCATGGTGTGGAGCATTGCTGGTCTTGGTAGTCTCGTGCCATGGCCGACATTCTGTGAATGCTGCTGCTGCTGCTGCTGCTGCACGCCTGTCACTACTACTTGTATTTAGTCTCCATGCAGGTGTTCTCCAGAACGTCACCAGACGCAGGTTCCGCAGCAGCTGTTTGTTTTTGAGTATGTCTGAGTACGTAGGGCAATGTGGTGTTCCTGGTCAGGTATACTTCGGTCTCCGATCAGTGGATCAAGCAAAAGACTTCACTCAAACTTTATGAGGCGAGCGAAGCCCGCACATTTCTAAACCCCAGATTCGTGCACCTTAAGCCCCTTAACCTTGAACCCCAAACCCTATGCCCCTAAATCCTAAACCCCTAAACCCGCCCAAACCCTGAATCCCTTAACCCCTAACTCCCAAACTTTCCACATAGCAGTGCAGGTGCCCCAGCTCAGGGCGGAGTTGCGAGCTGCCGGCAAAACACCCAGAGAACAATGGAATTCAGGTGAAATTTGTTGGGGTTACTAAAGAATAGAGGAATATGCTATATATAGAGAGTGTATATGGATTATATTTCTTTCTTCCTTACTAAGCACCAGTAAGTAAACGGTTTTTAGGAGAGAACTATGAGTTCAGGGTCGAGAGGTTCACGATTTCAGTATTAGCGTTGAGTCGTAAAGGGTTCAGATGATTTTGGGTTAAAGGTTTAGGGGATGGCACTTCATTCATGCGGGGTCGAGGAGTTCAGGGCTTGGGACCTGTTTCGGAGTTTGGTAAGCATGTTTTGTTTTGGGAGCTTCTCCCCAAGTTGTGCATTCTTGTCGGACCCCTGGATCCTGATCGAGGATTGAGTGATTGTGGTGTTGTCATGATATGGTCGAGCTCCTGGTAAGATGTGCGGATACGGAAGCTCAGAGGAAGATCTTCATGAAGTTTCATGCGGAGCGAAGGATTGATGAGTCGAAGGTACGTTTGCTCTCGCTCAAAGATAGGAACCGTCTGTGTTCACATTGTACAGGTCAATGTTGAACGGCTTCGAGGATAAGCTGGCGTGCCCTGTACCATGTCTGCCTTGTACTTCGAAGGCTACCCCAAAGAAACTGCTAGAACGCTAAACGCAATATGTTTATGGTCGTTACTTAAGCTGTGAGCGCAATATTTCCCCTGCAATCCATACAAGCCACCCCAAAGTCCTCACAAAAGAAAAAGCCAGATGTTCTATCATGAAGTTCAATAACCCAGGCCTTATTGGTAGCCTCCGATGGCCGCTACTCAGATTGAACATGCAATTCGGAGCCTGATCCATGGTTGTACACGTCCGAATTATCAGGAGACATGTAGGGGTTCCTGATAAGATCAGGCAGGGGACGTTTTGAGAGACCCTCCATGTCCCGCTGAGGCTTGGACGACTCCGGGGTCCGCTCTGCGCTTGTCGAGCGCCGGCACCTTTGTTGTTGAGAGTGTTGCCATAGATGGGGCATGAATGCGGAGAGAAGATTCCCGTCGTAAATTTGCATATCTATGCCATTATTCTGTGAGAGTGTATAGACAAACTGACAGTACACTCACTCTTTGTATCGCTGGTCAGAATTTCTGCGCAGCTTTCTCCGATAAGCCTGCGCCGAGGTCTTTGCTTCTAAAGTTTTCCAATGGAGGTGGTAGTGGCATGATAGCATGATGTACTTCAGGCACCCCTCTCCAATGTACAATCCTTGTATTTGGGGGTTGCGCTGCGACATCCTGCGAAAGCCGAACTTCAGGGACACTGGAGCTAGGCAAAATAGCAGATCCCAAAAATGATTTTTATGCCGCCCATAGCAAACCTCCGTGTGTGTTCTTTCCTGACCTCTTTGTACTCCCAGCTCTGCTTCTGCAAACGGCAGCATCTCAGGTCGAATCTAAGCGAGGGTCTCACAGTCTCATCATCATCGATCTGCTAGTCCAATCTGGTGCGTATTAAATTCCTTGCATTTGAAAAGAATTAAAAAGAAATTGCAGCGGCCGCCACTGCTTGCATACCCTCTTGGCAAATGGCCCAAGCATTGTCCCTGGACATGATATGAAGTCCAAAGACCTTGCCTTGACCAGCAACGAGGGCAATGCACATCGCGCCTAAGCTATCCTGTAGCAAACGGCCTTCAGAGGCTGTCTTGCGCCAACCCACATCTTGGCAAAACTTACGGATAACACTGCTAAGGTTAGCGGGGCTGATGTTGGAGTGCTTATCCTGAACGAAAGCGTTCCATGCCTTCTGCCACCTTTGCAGATCAGTTGTTGTGCTAGCCGGCTGAACTTCTGCTGTTTGATGCTGCGGACTCAAACATGCCCAGAAAGGCTTGGGTCCGATCAAGCTAGTGGCTGGCATGAGCATGGCATCAACTGTGTTTTTAGCAGCTTCGCCAAAATGGCAATCGCTTTCAAGGACAGCATCCAAACAGCCCGGTCGCCGGCGCACATGATCCCAAAGACGTGCCACAGTCCAAAACTCGACACTAGACTTCTGACAAGCTGTCAAGGCTCCAAGTGCATGTTTTTTGGACCCGATTCCATGCAGGCGTGCACAATGAGATCCAAGAGCGGCCTTGCTGAAGAAGAGTCTGTGGCAAACGCTGCATGCAAAGGTCCGGTCCCCAACAAACCTATCACGCTCATGCCACATCACCCCTCCCCCATTGTAGAGCTCAGTCAAGGAGGATGCTTTATCTGCCACTTTTTGCCGATGGCTGTCCTCACCAGTCGACCATTTGCGAATGGCCGCTCTAATCGCCAAACGGAAAGCAGCACCCTCAGTCACAAGCTGTGCAAGGAAGGACTTCCACTGACGAAAACAAAGCGAACATGGCAACAAGAGTTCCAGAGCAACCACGCGCTTCAACTCACCAAGGTCCTGCATGACAGCCCGCAACCATTGCGCTTTCTCAAGCAAGACAACCAAGGAGTATTCATCAAGCCAAGCAGCAACACTAGCAAGATGTCTCAAGCGCGCAACCACAAGTGTGAGCCGAGGCGGAAGGACTCGCAGCAACAAGCAGACCTCTTCGTCGGTGAGGCCTCTCGGGCTCCACCCTGTTATGGGTCTCAAGCTGGAGCGCATGAAACCAATCAACACACCACTGAAAGCTTTAAAAGCC